GCTATGAGTCAGGTCTGACTTGATGGCACATAACAACAACAACAGAATAAAGAAGAAAACCATATAATCATGTCAATGTGGAAGCATCATCTGGCAAAATCCAACAGCCACTCATGATGAAATTCTCAGCAAACTGGGAAGAGAAGGGAACTTACATAATCTGGTAAAGGGCATCCACAAGGAACCCACAGCTTTTGTTGTTGTTAGGTGCCATCAAGTTGTCTCTGACTCATAGTGACCCTATGCACAACAGAACAAAACACTGCCCAGTCCTATGCCAGCCCCACGATCCCTGCTATACCTGAGTCCATCATTGCAACCACTGAGTCAATCCATCTTGTTGAGGGCCTTCCTATTTCTCGTTGACCCTCCACTTTACCAAGCCTGATATCCTTCTCCAGAGAATGTTCCCTTCTGACAATATGACCAAAGTAGGTGAGACTAAGTCTGGCCATTCTTGCTTCCAAAGAGCATTCCGGCTGCACCTCTTCCAGGACAGATTTGTTAGTTCTTTTAGCAGTCCATGGTACTTTCAGCATTCTTCACCAACACCACAACTCAAAACCATCGACTCTTCTTTGGTCTTCCTTATTAATTGTCCAGCTCTCACACGCGTATGAAGCGATTGAGAATGACAAGACTTGGGTTTGGTGCAACTTAGTCTTCAATGAAACATCTTTGCTCTTCAGCACTTGAAAGAAGTCTTTTGCAGCAGATTTGCCCAGTGCAATATGTTGTCTTGACTGCTGCTTCCATTGGTGTTGAGCGCAGAACCAAGTAATATGAAATCTTTGACAACTTCAATCTTTTCTGCATTTATCGTGATGCTGTTTATTGGTCCAGTTGTGAGGATTTTTTTTTCTTTATATTGAGATATAATCCATATTGCAGACTATAGTTTCAGTCTTCATTAGTAAGTGCTTCAAATCATCCTCACTTCTATCAAGACAAGTTGTGTCATCTGTGTATCACAGGTTATTAATGATTCTTCCTCCAATTCAGATGCCACAGTCTTTTTCATACAGTCCAGTTTCTCTGATTATTTGCTCAGCATACAGACTGAATAACTATGATGAAAGGATACAACCCTGACACACTCCCTTCCTGATTTTAAACCATGCAGTATTCCCTTGTTCTGTTCAAACAACAGCCTCCTGGTCTATGTACAGGTTCCTCATGATACAATTAAGTCTTCTGGAATTCCCATTCTTCTCAATGTTATCCATAATTTGTTATGATCCACACAATCAAATGCTTTTGCATAGTCAATAAAACACAAGTAGATATCTTTCTGGTATTCTTTGCTTTCAGCCAAGGTCCATCTGACATCAGCAATGATATCCCTCATTCCACATCCTCTTCTGAATCCAGCTTGCATTTCTGGAAGTTCTTTGTCAATATACTGCTGCAAATGTTTTTGAATTATCTTCAGTAAGGTTTTACTTGCATGTGATATTAATGATATTGTTTGATAATTTCCATTCTGTGGGATCACCTTTCTTTAGAATGGGTACAAATATGGATCTCTTCCAGTCAGCTGGCCAGGTAGCTGTCTTCCAAATCTCTTGGCATAGCTGAGTGAGTACCTCCAGTGCAGCTTCCGTTTGTTGAAACAACTCAATGGGTATTCCATCAATTCCTGTAGTCTTGTTTTTGCCAATTCCTTCAGTACAGCTTTGCCTTCCTTCCTCCCTCAACACCACTGGTTCTTGATCATATGCCATCTCCTGAAATGGATGAACATTGACCAATTCCTTTTGGTACAGTGACTCTGTGTATTCCTTCCATCTTCTTTTGATGTTTCCTGCATCAGTCAATATTTTGCCCATAGAATCCTTCAATATTGCAACTCAGGGCTTAAACATTTTCGTCACTTCTTTCAGCTTGAGAAATGCCAAGTGTGTTCTTCCCTTTTGGTTTTCTAACTCCATGTCTTTGCATATTTCATTATAATAACTGACTTTGCCTTCTCAAGCTGCTCTTTGAAATCTTCTGTTCAGCTCTTTTATCTTGCCATTTCTTCCATGTGCTTTAGCTACTCTCCATTCAAGGGCAAGTTTCAGAGTCTCTTCTGACATTCATTTTGTTTTTTTCTTCCTTTCCTGTCTTTTTAATGACCTTTTGCTTTCTTCATGGATGATGTTCTTGATGTCATCCCACAATTCTTCTGGTTTCTGGTCATTGGTGTTCAGTGCATCAAATCTATTCTTTAGATGGCCTCTAAATTCAGAAGGGATATAACCCAGGTCATAGTTTGGCTGTCATGGACTTTTTTTTTTTTTTATTATTGTGATTTAGGGGAAAGTTTACAGAGCAAACTCACTTTCCATACAGCAGTTCACATACACGTTGTCCCATAACATTGATTACAATTGACCCCAATGCAACAGCTCCCCTCCTAGTTCCTCCTGATAATTACCTCTTCCCTCTGACCATCCCTGCATGCACTCCTGCCCCCTGAACTGTCTTCCTGTGCATAAATAGCCCTTCTTTCTCCATGATTGTTCTCTCCAAGGAGTGTATCTACCTTAGGTACATGTTCAACTCTTATGCCTGTCTTTTGTTTGGCTGAAAGCCACAGGTGTGGGTTCAATTCCAGACCTAAGGGCAGCTAGGGACCATAGTCTCAGTGGTTCCACCAGGCTCTATCAGACCAGCAAACCTGGTCCTGTCATGGACTTGTTTTAATTGTCTTCAGCTTCAATTTGAACTTGCAGATGAGCAGTTGACAGCAGACATCGTATTTAATGTGAAAGACTGAATGCTTTCTCCTGGGGTGTGAGTGAAGGGAGATGAACAGGGAAGGGGCACACAGGAAGCCTTTGGAACCATGGAAATGTTTTATATCTTGGTTGGAGTGGTGGTGCACTGGTCAAAACTCATCAAACTGTACAGTTAAAATGGATACATTTTATTATACATAGATTTATACACCTCAATCAAAATGATCTTCTAAAAGGTTTAGGAGGATATACAAAAAACTGCCAGACTTTAGGGTGTGTATAGTTGTGTGTGTAGATCCAGGGTTAGTGATTGTGAGCAAAGACTTTAACTTTCTCTGAAATGTCCTAATGTGTCCAAAGGAAGAACGAATTTTTGTATTTAAGATAATGAACTTAAACAGCATATCTTGGAGATCTTTCCATGTCAGTTAATAGAGAAATACCTCATTCCTTTGATAACTTTCGCAGCCTACCCCACTGTATAGATCTACATGATTATCTAAGGAATCCCCTAGTAATAGATATTTAGGCTATTTTTGCTCTTACAAAGCATGCTGCATGCCTCCATGTGCACACAACTTGGTATGTAATACTGGGAACCAACAGTTTTTCGAGTTACCCAAACCTGGGATGAAATCCCAGTGCTGTTATGTACCAGCTGGGGCCAATCACATCACCTCTCCTGGGCTCACTTTTCATCTATGAGAAATGGAGGGTGGGGTTGAAGGGTTAAGCTGATACTGTTTATTTAAAGCACAGCCAGGAGCTCTGGTGGTACAGTGGTTAAGGCACCAAAGGATGCTGACCAAAAGGTCAGTGGTTTGAACCCAGCTGCTCTGTGGGAGAAAGATTAGGCAGTCTGCTTCCATAAAGATTTACAGCCTTGCAAAGCCTATGGGGCGGTTCTACTCTGTCCTATAGGGTTGCTATGAGTTGGAATCAACTAGGTGACAGTGGGTTTTTAATTTTTTATTTAAAGCATCTGGCATAAGGTGACCCCACAATAAATTACTTCCTGTCCCTTTCCCTTAAGGACTATAGGGATGGGTTGTGGTTATGGTTTTTTAGACCTTGGATGTCCAAAGAACAAATATTAAGGGGTGCAGGTGGTGGGGTACTAGGTGGTCGTTTCCCAGAGGGCTAACCCAGTACCTGAGCCTGATGTTTCAGGTGAAAGGTGACAGCTACGCTGACCTCCCCAGTGGTGTCCCACACATCAGAGGAGATGATGGCTGACCCCACCTGTGTGCTTAGGAACCTGTGGAGAGAAAGAGAGCTTTTAAGGGGATCAGTTGGCTGGAGGTATGGGGAGAGGTGATGCATGTCTGGATTCATCTCATACAGGACCCTGTGGTAGAAACAGTGCTCTCGTGTCCAGAGATACATCAGGAAAGACCAGAGCTGGGGCTTAGGGGACTTGAGTTTAGCCTCAGGGATTTGCTGGTGACTTGTTTAAGCCCTGTTCCCTGAGTGTCAACACTGAAATCAGGGTCCCAGACAGGAGTTGAGCCATGTTCCCACTAGTCATAGCAAAGAAATGTGTGCGTGTGTGTGTGTGTGTGGAACGTATGTATGGTCTGAGGTGCTAAGGACAAGTTTTCCTACCAAAATGGAGGTTCTGGAAGGGGATGGGGGCTTGGCCTTTCTTGGGGAGGGAACGCAGGCCCTCAGCAGCCTCCTGGGACCCACTCACCTCTGCATCCTGTCTGCCTCCTCCGAGCTGTTAGGGGCCTGAGGTTCTAGGCCAGGCCCCCCAAGGGTGTACTGGAAGACACTTGAGGTGAACCAGCTGTGGATCACGGTGACTCCAGAGAGGGCTGGCTGAGTGGGAGGGGGACCCAACACCCCACCCAGTAACTGAACAAGAACCAGTTAATAAGTGGCAGTCAGAATTCCAAACAGCCATCATTCCTGTGCTTAACCTCACAGCTCCAAAGCCCTTTGCTTTAACTCTTCACCTCTGCATAGCGCCAAGGGTCAGGGGAGCCCTCTATCACCCATTTCAGAGGGGAAATGTGTGGGGTTCAGAAGTGGGTACTAAGTGAACACCTGCTATGTAGTAGGTGCTTTGCCCGGGACATTATTTAATCTTGGAATAGCTCACGTGGCAAGTTTTAGTTCCCCATTTTACAGTTAAGAAAACTGAGGCCCTGAAAGGTGAAGTAACTTATTTAAAGTAGCACAGCTAGCCACTGTCAGAACTGAGGTTTGACCAAACCAGCCCCTCACCTCCACTCACCTTTCCCAAGGAGTCGTCTCACTTCACTTGCAGGAATGTGGATGTGGCCGGGCCCCTCTGGGTGCCCGTCAGGCATCGTGAATATGTAGCCCCCAACGCTAGCCTCCCTCAAGCATAGTCTCCGAACCTCCAGGCCTGGGATTAAATGGGGCCAGGTGGCTGGACCTCAGGAGGGAGGTCTTTCTGCTGAGCCGGCCCAGCTGGCAAGGCCTGTTTCCCTTTCTCCCTGCCACAGGGTCTAGGGAATCACTGGCCCTGCTCAAAGAGGTTCAACAACTTGCCCAAGGCAAATCTGACCTCTCCAAGTCTGGGGAGTGGGGGCCCACTGAGAAGAGTGTCACCAGGAGTCAGCAAGCCACCAGGAAAGCAGTGGGCATCTGAAGGGCACATGTTTGTGCCTCAAGTTCCAGGGTAAGTGCCTCCCTGCTCAATCTGCACATCGTCACTGACAATGTACTTGGGCTTGGCCCTGAGATACAGAAGTAACTCAGAAATATTCCTAGGCCTTTAACGACCTTCAGGTGACACAAATACAATGAGACATTCAGGAGGGAGGGATGGACTATCAGAAGAGAGGAGAAATGGGGAAGGCTTCCCGGAGGAGTTGAGGCTCAAGCAGGGTTTAGAAGCATGTACAGGAGTTTTCTAGGAGCACAAAAGGAAAAGGGCATTCTGGGTGCAAGGCACACAAGGGCAAGGCAGAAACAAAATGGAGCGTCTGCAGAAGTGTAGGGAGCTCCCAGGGACCAGGACTGAGAAAGGAGCTGTCCGAGCTCAGCCCCCAACCCAGGGCTCAGCTGTATGGGACAGGCAGGTGGCAGGCTTACCGGCATGGCGGTGCTGGATGTGCACTTGGGGACGCTCAGAGGACAGTATGGTACTCAGCACGGGTGCCAGGTTGTGCACACTTGCCACCAGGGCCATAGGTCCACCAACTACCTAGAAGGAAGCCCCACTTCAGTAGGCATGCCCAGCACCCACACCTCCCTCTCATATTGCACACCACACTGCCACCTGTGCTGGCCACTGGGGTTCACATACTCTCAATGATCTGTGAGGGATGGTGTTTGACTGGTGACCGTTTACTCCAGAACTTTCAATGGCTCCCTAGGGCCTCCAGGTCAGTTCTGAGTCCTCAGGCTGGCGTTTGAGGCCCTGCCTGACCCAGCCTCCTCTGACCACTCCAATCCTGTGCTCCAAGCTGCCCTATCCTCCAGTCAAACTGAAGGTCTTACAACACTCTGTGCCTGCTGGTCTGTCATTTGTCAGCCAGGACACACTCTTAAGGCTGGGCCACGCCTCCTTCTTCTTCAGGATGACTCAGTGCTAGATCCATAGTAGGTGCTCAAGATTCCAAAAGGAAATTTATGCGGGGGATGAGGCAAGGCAGGAAGGAGAGAATGTACATTAACAAGATACCTACTCTGTGCCAGGCAATTCACCCATTTACTCCTCGCCGTTACCTTAGTGAGGAGCTCTGGTAATGTAGTGCCTAAGGCACTTGACTGCTAACCAGAAGGCTGGCAGTCCAAACCCACCAGCCACTCCTCGGAAGGAAGGTTGGGCAATCTACTTCTGTAGGGATACTGCCTCGGAAACCCAAGGAGGGGTCGCTATGAGTGGGGGCCGACTTGACGGCACATAACAACAACAACATCACCTTAGTGGGGCAGGTGTGATAATCCCCATTCTTCAGAGAGGATGTCCAGAGACCATCTTTTCCCACCTTGTCAAAGTGCCTCAGATCCTCAATCAAATGCTTGCAGCCCCTCTGTGGCAGCCTGATCACAGGCTTGCACCCTTCCCAAGATGGGGAGCTTACCACCTGTCCAGGTGAACCATGGAACTAGTCTCCTGTGTTGTACCATTCCCATACCACGCCTCCCCGTCCCCCGCCAGCCTTGGTTCCACTTTGTTCCTGAGACAACAGAGAGATCACGTGTGCTTTCTTAGCCTCAGAGATCTTTGGCAATGTCATGATCCCTTGTTCCTTTCCTTCTCTGTGCTCATCACTCTCTAGCCTACAGCCACGCCAGGATGAGGTCTCCAACCTCTCTTCCTCTAGGAGCATCTCTCATGTTCTCCAGAGTACCTGGGCTGTTTTGACAGATGAGATAGGCTGAACCCTCAGCATAGGAACCTCCCACTTAAGTTGGTCAGCAGATTCTTAGCTTTGGGGAGGCCCTTATTGACTGTTGTTGTTGTGTTGTTATGTACTGTCGAGTCAGACCCAATTCATAGTGACCCCTCCTTGGATTTCCGAGGCGGTATCACTATGTAAGTAGATTGCCCAACCTTCCTTCCGAGGAGTGGCTGGTGGGTTTGAACTGCCAGCCTTCTGGTTAGCAGTCAAGTGCCTTTGGCACTATGCTAGCAGAGCTGGCTCTTAATATTTAGTTGCAGAAACTGTTGTTGAAGTGAAGTTGTACATGGAAGTTCACCTTATAAAACAGACAAAAGAGGAGTTTCTATAGACGAATGGGGTGATAGAGCCAAGAAAGGGTGTTGATTTGCCCATGGCCACATGACAAGCTGGTGGCAAGGCAATAACCAGAGCCCAGGCCTCTGCCTCACCCACCCCTACCAGCCTCACCTCGCTGACTGACAGCCATGTGTTGGCCAACTGCTCCTCTAGGACCAGGCTGACCACAGACAGGACATCCTGGCCCAGCTGGTCCCAGGGCCCAGTCAGGAGCTCAGGCTCCCCAGCCCCAAGGGCCGTCACCCTCTTCAGAAAGTGCACAACAGCCAGTAGCGCAGCTTGCCCCAGTGGGGCTACCTCCTCTGCCAGGGCTGTCTTCAGGATGCCCAGGAAGTGGGAGGCCTTACTTAGCCAGTGACGGGCCCGTGGACTTCAGAGAGGGGGTCAGAAGACAGCTGTGGGCAGAGGAACCGCTGGCTGTAGGTCTGTTTGTCACAAGTGGATTCGCCAGGGGTCATCACTTAGGCTCTGCCAGGGTCTTCTTGGCGGGTGTTCATCTATCTTGTTACAAACCCCCAGCTCTTAAGAGCTCCAAGTTAGGGAGCATGAACAATTTTAATTCCTGCAGACACATTATCTGGGTATTGCTTTTACAGATAAGACAACTGAGGCTCAGAAAGGTGACCTACAGCACCCCAGACTCCACAGGCCCCTTGGGAGGGTGACTCACCACGGTGGCATTGGCCAAGGCATTGACTTGGCTGATAACATCCTGGCCAGGCCACGACTGGGCATCTTGCAGGTGCCGATAGGTCTCTGCAAAGCAGCAGATGCTGGCTGAGGGCCTGGGCAACACAGCTGCATAGAGGTGCCAGCCTACCCAGTGACCAAATGCCCCACCAAGGGAGGCCCAAGGGAGGAGAGCACATTGCAGGAGGCTTACACAAGCTGCTCTAGAAGGGCAAACGGAGGCACAGAAAGGCCAAATCGCTTCCCCAGGATCACGAAGCTGGATTCAGCTCTGTCCTGCGGTCTAGATTCAGTGGAAACCCCGAGGCTCAGAGAAGATTCTGAATTCCCAGGCTTTGCCAAACTCTGACCCCCTTATCCTGCACTGGTCCACACCTGGATTCCCATCCGTAGACTCCCGGGGCGCAGCCAGGACGCACCTGCTGAGTAGCAGCAGAGGAACGGCTGCGGCTGCAGGCAGGGCTCAGAGCCCTCAGTGCCGGGTCCTGGGTCCCACGTCGGGCACTCCTCCGTGGGCACTGGCCAGCATGAGGAGTTGTCAAGGCCGCGCCCCGGCTCCCCAGAGGGCCGGAGGACCCACCCACCCGGGCCCTGAAAAGGCCTACACATCTCAGAGCGCACTATCCCGGCTTCATGTGGCGTTGTGGGAACCTGAGGGAGGGGTCAGCCCCAAGTGGGGCGGGGCGTCCAGGGGCGAGCCCAGATTTGGGAGCAGGCGGATGCCGGAGGGCGCCGGCACCGAACGCCTAAAGGCTGGATGAACCAACGCAGCCAGTAGGCGAGGTGGCCAGAAGTTGGGCGACGCCAAGTTCCAAGGACTGGGCTAGCACCAAGGGTCAGAAGGGAAGTGTCCTGGAGCCAGTCCAAGAGCGATACTGAAGAAAACTTAATGGAGAGAGGGGGGCGGGGCGAGGACTGGGGGCGGGATTGATGGTCAGGATCTGGGGACGAGGAGGGCCGGCAGGGCCGAGCCGTACCGGGACAGAGAAGGCGCACTCGCACTGTCGGCAGCAGCGAAGGGGTGACGTTTAGGGCCCCCGGGTCCCAGCGGAAGAGCAGGCCGCCGGGGGGTGGTGCGCAGGTCCTTGCCTGGCGTAGCTGCGCGGGGTTCAGCGCCCGCGCCCACAAATGAAAGTCAGTGAGGTTGCCGCTGAAGGCGTCTCGCTCGGAGAAGCCGCCGCCTAGAGAGTCCTGGTCTTGGCCCAGCACGAGGACGCCGCCGGGCGGTAGCGGGTGGCCCACAGCTAGACCCTGAGGCCCCGCGCGCCGCCGCCCGTCGGCGAACACGGCCCAGCGCCCGCCCTGCTCTTCCCACGTGACGCACACATGGTGCCAACCGTCGTCGGAGCGAAAGGCTGGGAGGAAGGGCGTGTGGTGCCTGCGCACCACAAGCGCGGCGTGCACGGCGCCCCCGGGCTCTGCGAAGGCGCGCAGTTGCAGCGCGTTTGCCAGCTTGGGCACCGCGAGAGAGAAGACAGCAGCAATGTCTGGCGAGGTGGTGTCCCACTGCACATGAGCGCACGCCGTAAGCGCCCCTAGCGTTGGCAGGGGCATCCGCAGCCACGCCGCCCTGTCTGCTGTCTTCTCACCGAACACCAGAGCGGCCACAGTGCGCGCGCCTAGGAGAACACGCGGGCCCAGATGAATTTTCCCAGCTACACACACCGTCCTGCCTTTGATTGCCCTTTGGTGCAGCTGCAGGCTTTGGGGCACATCCCCCCCACAGAACAAAAGGGGGCGCCAACGCCCATACCTGGGACCAACCCCTTAGCGCTGTTAAGAGCAAAGAAATCTGGAGATGCAGAGGGGACTAATTCTGCAGGGCTGCCACTGTGGACACCCGTCCCTGGAGGTCACCACTGCCCCCCACTTCCTAGGCCCAGGGCCCAGATTCACGCCTCTGTGGGGGCCGCTGCAGAGTAGCCTGGCTCTGGCCCATCCAGACTTGGTCGTGCAGCTGCAGAGCGAGGACCCCATCTGGGGGCCCCAGTGCCACATGGCCAAACCGCTGCTCACAGGATTCTTGGGCCTGCCACCAGCTTAGTCTCTGCTCTGGGAACTTGCACACCCCAGCTGCCGTCTCCACCACCTCACCTGGGGCCGCTGGAATTGGAAGTCAAAAGGAGAGATGGTATTGGAGAGCATGTGAGTGGGCACCTGACCCTGGGGGTGGGCAGGACCAAGGGCCCTGGGCTTAGATTAATGTGGGCTTGGATGCGCTGAACCCTGGCCATGCTCTATGACCTAGCAATTTGTGTCTGCTTGCTGTTTCTTCATCTGCAAAATGGCTGGGATGAGGAGGTTCTGAGTGATGTTTTCAGCACAGGGTCTGGCCTTTCTTCCTTCCTTTGCACTGGAGGCCAGTGCACGAATGGACCACAGGCTGGCTGTGCTTGGGTAGAGGGGACTTCTGAGGCAGCGGAGGAGGGGCTTCCTCATACCACCCTGTGCCCCAGGGTTTCTTTGACTCACCTGGAGGGGTGGAGGGTGCCCCAGAGAGACTCCAGATCTGAGAGAGAAAGAGCAAGGTGAGAGGGCTGGACCAGGTGTCCCCACGTGTGCAGTCTATTGAATGCCTTTCTGTGTGTGTGGTGGTGGGGTGCCTTGGAATCTGTAGGCTCTGCAATCAGACCTGGGCCCAGGTCTCACCCACAGTGTGACCTTGGGCAGGACACTTTACTGCCCTGAGCCTGTTTTCCCCATTGTGAGGAATAAATAAGCAGATAAGTGAATGTAAGAGGTATAGCACCTAGGGGGTGCTTTTACCTCTATTTCTGTGCCAGGGGCCTATCTTGTGTAACCTTTGGAGTGACCTTGTAATGTGGGGTGGCACCTGGAGCCCTTAGCAGCCTTAAGCCCCCTCAGACCCTTCCCCGCATCCCCCCTCCCAAAGCTCAGGTACCAAGAAGTAGAGGAGGCAGTGGCGCCAAGGGGCCATTCTAGGTCCATCAAGGGCAGGTGAGAGACAATAGGGGTCACAGGCGTGGCCAGTGTGAGCTGAGGAAGGAAAAACAAACAAACAAACAGGAAAGCGGCTGAGCATCCTGCCTGGCTACCCTCTTCTGACTCCTGCAGGCTCATCTTGCTTTGTTTGCTCCCCAGGACCAACGGGGCTAGGAGCCAACCCACTGGGCTGGAAGCCCAGGCTGCAGCCCTGGGTGGGGTGACCTGCCCACTGAGGATGACATTTATTTGCACAAAGGGATGGTTTGCAGGAGCCCATTCCAGGCCTGAAGCGCAGAAATGCTGTAGCCCTGGTGAGTTGAGGATGGAGGAGAGGAGAGTTCAAGGGCCAGAGATGGGTGGAGACAAAGCTGAGGGGTCCCCACTGGTGGTGGTGGTGGTGACAGTGTCTTCAGGCCTGGGGATTTCCTTGTGTTCTTTGGAATTCAGGCATCTGCTTCACTGGACCTCTGTAGACTCGCCAGCCTCACCTGTCTGATGATTCCCCCTGCAGCCACCTTTTGCCCCTGCTCCCCAAGCTGTTTCCAGTTCCCCAGCTCCTGCCTAGACCCGCCTCCCACTCCCTCCCACTCCCACTCCCTCCCACTCCCTCCTTCAAGGTCAGTTTTCAGTGTCTTCATCTGTCTCCCACCAGGTGTTGTGCCAAGCTAGGGATACCCAGTCATGGGTGGTTTGGGGGTCACTCCTGGCAGCCCTGGGAAGTGCTACAGGCCAGGAGGAGTAGAGCTGATGGACCTTGGAAAACACAGGTGCTGAAATAATGTGCCAGGTTGGAGGATGGAGTCCACTCAGAAATGCCTTGGAAGAAAGACCTGATTCTACATGTCAAAAACCAGCCTCTGAAAATCCTAGGGAGCACAGTTCAACTCTGACCATATAGAGCCGCCATGAGCTGGAGCTGGCGCCACGGCCAACTAATTGCTGTCCCAACAGCCTGGCCTCAAGTCACTTGGGAGTCTGGAGCCATCACAGAATGATGGCATGGGATGCAGAGGTTCACATTTTTTGAACCCTCAACAGTGGCAATCTATTCTCAGTACCTCCCCTTTTAAACAGCACCAGGGTGGGTGGGGATGTTGTAAGAGTCTATTGTGGTTCTAGTCCCTAGCAGGTGCTAGGCACATAGTACCCGCTCAGTAAATGCTGATTCGTGGTTCCCCTGTTCGCCTCTTTTTGTATTTGCCCCTCAACCTCCTTGCCTCCCACCGGCCTTGCTCACCACCCGCTGGCTGACATACAGAGAGATAGGAGAAGTTTGGCCGCCACTACGCCTCCTGAGGGGCCAGTAAGGAAACCTCCCGAAGTGGATGGGACCTCCACATCACTCCCACCAGACTGGGACCTCCCCATCACTCGTGCTGCCCCCTCCCCCAGACCAAGGGAATTCGTCCCATGTTCCCAGCCCCCGGTCCTCACCCGCTTCGCTTAGCCAGGTGACTGTGGTTGGTTTGCTGTCTGCGGAGTGTCTGCGGGGACTGAAATCTGGCAGCCAGGCCCCTGGTCTCGCAGGCCGACTCTGCCCAGGGCGACACCGCCTCAGGGGCGGGGCTAGGAGACCCCACCCCTCGGGCGCCCGCCCTCAAGGGCGGGACGGGCTCCAGTCCAGCCAGAGACCCTTGTGCTTTTGGAAGCGTGGTGACCCTTAGTCCCTGGACAGGGTGGGGTCTATTGTTACTGCCTCCTTCCTTCCTCAACACACAGGTAGTCACCCAATTCGAAGGGGCCAGCTTGTGAGATCTGGTTCCAAAATAAACTGGAAGGTGAATCCTGCCTGAAGCCAGGGTGGTGAGTGCATTCAGTTCCGAGCTAACTATGGGCTTACTACCTGAGCGGGCCTGTGCAGTCCTCAGCTCCTTGACCTGCAGCCCACTGTGAGGGAGGGGCTATCATACCCATATTCCAGCTGAGTCCTAGGAGAGCTGAGGGGTCTTGCCAGAGTTACACAGCTGGCACTAGGCAGAGCGGGCCTTGCCTCCAGGCCTCTGGGTCATCATGCCGGCCATTCAAATGGTGATGAAGCAGGATTGAGGGGGTGTGTGTGTTGTGGGGCGTGGAGCAAGGAGAGGTTTGGGCCTCTGAGGACAGAGCCTGGCCTAGGTGGCGGGGCCCGGGGTGCTGACAGGAGAGTGAAGTATTGGGGAGGATGCGGAGGTGATGCGTTGTCCCGCCTTTTCAGGACATAGTAGCTGGGCTTGTTGGTTGAGAGACAAGTCTGAATGAGTGACCCCAAAGCTAAGGCTTTGGGAGCAGACAGATCTAACTTTATCTTGGCGCTAAGACTTGTTACCTAGTTTCCTTATCAGTAGAGTGTGGATAATAGTACAAACTCATAGGGTTGCTAGCAGATTTAAATGACTTTGATGTAACAGTTTCCATGTTGTATTTAGTGCCTGGTGCACAGTCAGTTTAACATTCTTTTCAAAACTTAACTTACACTTGTCAAAATAGCTTGCTGATGACATGATGGTTTATTTATTTTTATTTTACTGAAAATATACACAGCAAAACATCTACCAACACAACAACGGATGGTTTATTTTTGAAAGAAGGAGGGGATGGAGGTGGTTGGAGATATAACAGTATTCAGTGTATTATTCTTTCAGCTTTTCTGTAGGTTTGAGAATTTTCAAAATAAAAAATTGAGCATAAGAGGACCCCACTTGGGGCAGAGCTCTGAGTATTTCCCAGGTTCCCTGGCCTGCAGAGCATATACAGGTCTCTGTTCTGTGTTCGTGACCAGCAGAGCAAGGGCTCCATCGCAGGCTTCTTCACACCTCTCTTGATGGCTCTGGAAGCTAGGACTCGGTTGAGGGGGGAAGGAGAAGCCCATGGTGGAATCCTTGCTCTGCTGGTCCTGGCATGAAGCCTTTCCACATTTGAACAGCCTCATTCAAGGCAGAAATTTTGGGGTGCCATTTAACATCTGTGCAAACTGAACACCAAAGAGCATGGACTTGCCCAAAGTCATACAGCAAGGAAGGGGTGGACTCCAGGTCTACCTCTGACACCCATGCTCTTTCTCTCTGTGGGTGGGGGTAGAGTTTGTGTCAACCCTAATGCTGCCAATCTTCTTTCTGTGTCTTCTGGTCCCCTTTGCCCCCCTTCATGTCCCACTTCAAATAACTATTCTGTAGCCTAAGTAACGACCTTCTTATCCTTGGCAATGCCCCACCCCTAAGACCACCAGTTCAATCTCTCCCTTCCGTGGGTTCACATTTCCTAGGAGTTACTCCTGCATGGCCAATTGCCATGAGGGGGTACCCTCTAGCCTCCAAATCGAGGCCTCTGAGGAGCTGGAATTGGTTTGGGCCTGTGTCCCAGCCTAATCTCTTTTCCCCAGAGCCTTGGCATTGTCCAGCTGGCAGCCAAGGATCATTTATCGGCTTTATAGTGGGGCAGCTCTGACAGGCCCATTGTCTCTGAGGACAAGGCCTGGAGGCCTTAGGTGAGTGATAACCACTGGGGCCTAAGGATAATTGTCTGGGTAGGTGGAGGGGAGCTGTGGGGAGGCTAGGGCCCAGGGGAGCCCTGAGGGTGGCCTGAGGACATCTTAGTCCTCATCACTGGGTTCTGGTTCTGCCCCAGCGACCCCAGAAACAGAGGGTCCTCCAAACCTTACATAGCTCAGGGCCAGGTATTTTGGAAGGAGGAGCTGACTGCTGGCATGTTTTTGCTTTGGGGTTGCCTCAAACCCCAAAGATTCTAAGCTTGACTACCCGTCAACTTTTATGTGACTAGGACAAATCTCTCTACTTTTGTTTCTTCTTCCATAGAATGGGGATAATCACCCCTTTCTCTCAGGGACATGAAGGACAGCTGTGAGAATAGATTTTTGAGTATTTGGGGTTGGGGGAACATCCCACAACCTGGTCCCACTGTCATTTTCCTCTGGGGAAAATGGCTTCCACTTAGTCAACAAAGTGGAACTTCCTCTCCCCTACCTCCTCACATACCCTAGGCTCTGAGAAACTCAGACAGGCCCAGAGCTAGCCCTGCCTTCCCTATTTCCTACTTGAATTCCCTTTCCACATTCCCTTTCCACATAGTGATATTTCTAATATTTCCATCTTATCCTATCCCTCCTTTGCTCAGAACTCTTCCATAGCTCTCTGGTACCTCCAGGAAAAAGTCCAACTCCCCTCACATGGCTAACGTGATCCATTCATGCCCTCTTTCCTCCCTCACTGAACTTCTTCCCTTCACATTTGGAAGACCATCTCTAGCCAGAGTGAACATCTTTCTGATCTCACCTCTGAGCCTTTGCATATGCTGTTCCCTCTACCTGGAGCACCCCTTCCAAATATTTTCTGGTTCATTTCTACCTATCTTTCAGGACTCAGCTAAGACCTTGTGGGATACCTTCTCTGTGTACCTTGTAGACTAGGTCAGGAACCCCGATCCCTATAAATGTTAGAGAATTTTCTGCCTGCCGTTCCAGCCTGGGAGCCCTGTGTCCCCAAAACCCAAGTAAGGGCTTGCCAAAGTGAGCACTCAGTAAGTGTTGAGTGACTGCAGGAAGGATTCTACAGACCTAAACACACACAGGCATCTGTGACTTTAAGGTCTGTGTGTGAGTGTATGTTTGGGGATTTGCGTGTGGTGTAGTGGGAAGAGACTTCTCTTAGTGGGCCCCCAAAGCTGGACAGTTGCACCTCTGATTTTGACTGCCTGAGAGTGAAACAACTATTTAGCACCAACTTGCAGGCCTCCCCTCCTCAACTAGTGAGGAAAACAGCCTCTTCTACTTCCCACCTGTCTCTAGCTGTCACTGGGGCAGAGGCAGTTGATGCAGTGACCTTGCCTGGGAGGCAGAACCCCTAGCCCCAGTTCCAAACCCTTCTGTACCACCAACCAGCATAGGGACCTGAGTGAGTCATGTCTCCGTTCTTGGCCTCAGTTTTCTCTTCTGTAAAGTGGGGCCCCTCACCCCTATTGAGAGAAGGGTCATGAATATCTGTGACGTGCCCAGCCCAG